TTGCAACGTCTTACCACTATGTACTCTCGCTCCATCGTCCATCGTCTATCGTTCAGCTCTGTATCCCCATATCCAATCACCGCTGTAGCTTATGATCAGTCCTTCTCTATTACTCCGAGTCTACCTTCTACACCATACCCCATCGGTCGCCATGCCATTTTGGTAGCATCGCAAACATACCTACCTAGATACGTTATACCTCTCTTATCATGGCTCTATTCGTGCGGAATACGAGTTACCGCTAGCTAAACTAATATGGATGTACATTTCAGCTATATCCATATCCATATCTATCCCCACTCCATGATCGTAATTGAAAAAATTGGCTCTTCAAGCCTAAAAAGCCTCCGTGAGTCTTCCAAATCTGTTCCGTGGATGAAGAGCCCGGCATCGAGGGATCGTCGTCAACAGGATACTGAACGAGATTAGATCTAATGGATACGGACATGGACGCGGACACGGGTACCGGTAGTTATACTTAGCTGGCTTGACTACCTATCGTCTTTACTAAACTCTGTTTACTCTATACTGCTAACTTGGCTCTGAGATTTGGGTCGACCTTCTCTGGTTGAGTAACCCTTGCTTTAGTCGCGTGGCAGGAGCTGGAGCTGTTCCCCTATAAGGGATCGGGGGTCCTACATTATGCGGAGCCGTACATAAAGTATCTCTCAATCCCGAGGGATAAAAACTGAAAACCCTTTTTTGAATCGAAGGCTCGGGTTCCGAGGGGCCTAGTTGGTCTTGGCTGGTTTGGCGATGGGAACGCACGCAGCGAATCCAGTTCGGCTGGCATGACAATATCAATCGACATCGATATGATGTCCATACGGATCGAGCAGCGCTTAAGCCATGCGATGCCCAGCTTTGACCCTACCGAATGGGGATCGAGAATCGTCAACTTGTTCCGCGATTGAGCTTCTCTTCTCTCGGAGGATATCGATGTTTTGTTTTTAACTGGAAAGCAGGAGAGTCTCGTAGAAAACTAGGAGTAGTGGCGCTAGACGGTGTATCGACTGATGTTGATTGATTGAGATACGGATCGTGTCATCGTGTTATCAAATTTTCAAGGAGAAGGGTGATACTTACCACGTACTCAACTTTAACCTCCGTACGTCATAACATGAGGTTTCTTCGAGGCCCGAGCTGGAGCACAAGCACCTTGCAAGCACCCCCGATTCAACGTTGTAGGGACCTAAACGCCACACTACTCCCTCGTTCAATGTTGAACGATTACGTCTATCTTGGGAAGTGCTCATATCTCATATCCACATACACGCCGATTGGGATTAAGGACCAGCATGGAGGGCACTTTTCCATTGACATTCATCACTGATACATGATACCTGCTCGAAGCCGCTCAACCAATCGTGTTTGGAAACGAGCACTGCTGCGCGTCCGGGGGGTCAGGGCCTGCGAGAACGCTCAGGCGTAATCAGTGGATCACACAAGGATCACAGCTTAAGTCACCGTACGTATGGTGTCGTTCTTTTTTTATAGGTCGATAGCCTGGCTCCGGGAAGTAAATAAAGTGAAAGCAATAGTCATAATGCGGCCGCGGAGCCTTGCTAGTATGAGAATGTTGAGAACTTACACCAGCTTCCGGTGGGTAAGTAGCGCGATATGGTCAAGTGCTAGTTAGTTTCGTTCCGAGTCACGGACGTCCGCCTAAGCCTACTTAATCTTTCGATTAAGACACGTTGTTTTCGCGAGACGAGGTGTTCTAGTTATTGATTTGTTGAGGATATCGCTCACTTGGCATGAGCGATGGGCATTGCGTAGTGCCGAAAAGCATCAGGTTCTATCAATACTAGTACTATAATACACAGACGTTGGATCATCGCATGGCTCGTCGAAGAAGATGCAGAAGATGTGCTACGTGAGGATGTATGACAGATATGAATTGTCCCTTACTCATCTGACCTGTCTAAATGAAAGAGCAGAAAATAGCTTGACAGGAACGAGTCGGACAATTAAAGCTATGTGTACAGCAACAGCAGCAGCAGCAGCAACTTTGACATTCATAAGCCTGCCGGAACAGCCCCGACTGAGGTTCTTGCTGGGATAGTTAGGGGACCGAGGAGAGTTAGTAATGCCAGTGTTGGTCGAGGCCAGTTGACCTATGCACCGACGACAGCTTCTATGTTTAGTAGCTGGAAGCCTTTCTTTCGACTTGCAAAGAACAACAGCACGATATGATGGAAACAAAAGGGTGTTAGGGAGATGTTCATCAACCATTCAGTTCATGTAACGTTCAATAGCAATGTGGACCCACACCGTAGCCAGGTGAAAAAACAAGGGTGTGCTATTGCGATCTAGCTGCGAGCAGCCGATGGGGGAACTTGGAAGGAGGTTCATTTGGGTTCGAGGGAACCAAAATGTATTTTTGGGAGCTGCTTTTTCCTATGCGAACGTCGAGGCTATCCTTGAGAAGTTGAAGGAAGTTGCCGGGGAATGAATTGGCCGGGCGCTTCGGACAGGCCATATACACGTGCTACGAAGGACTGGCTAGTACTTAAAATTTACACTTCTTTCATGCCACCATTTTAGGTTGGCTACGCTTTGTCCCTTTTCAGTTATTTCTTATTGTTTTTATTGTCTTTATATCTCTCTGCGCCACTTCTTCACTCTTAACCACCACCACCACCACCGCCAACCGCCAACTACCATGACTGAGTACGACTACAGTCCAGAGGCATACGAACGGTACAAAGCCAAACTTCGGAGCATTGATAGATGGGTGCAGGACACTGAGAAATACGAGCCGGCAAATCCATTCATGCCTACGCCTGCCTTAGGTCCAGTCAGATTACCAGGTTCGGAGACCAGCAGCAGACGCAACCCACAGCGGTCGTACACTGCACCAACTTCAAGAGGCTCTTCCTCCAGCTCTGGCGCCTATGGCTCGACTTCAAATTTTTACCAGCCGACGTCGGCTCCTCAGCGGTATGATTATTCTCAATATCCGTACCCAGGCTCTCCGCCGACACCCCCCACCGGACCTCCGCAGCGGTCCAATACTTTCCATACTCCTCCTCCTGCCCCACGCTTACCCAAACGCTCCAATACCTCGCCACAAACGCAGTTATATGATCCCCGTGTAGGTGTAGCTACTCGTGTCATGGTGCGTTCATTTATTTGGCTCATCTACCGAAATGGGACGTTGACGTTTTGTTTTCTTTGAATCTACTAGTACCAGCCTTATTACGCTCAACCTTCATCGCCCTCAAATTCCAAAAGCTGGATCGGAAAGCTCTTTAGCGGGTTCCGCAGCGCCAGTCCTTCCTCGGCCCATAGCCCTGTTACCAGTCCCGCGGCGACTATTCATACCAGACACAGCCGGAGCAAGAGCGCTCACCACAACTATCATAGAGACCGAGACCGTGATAGAGATAGAGGAGACAGAGACCGTGAACGGACCAGGCGTCGCGACGAACCACGGTCAAAATCTCACTCGCGGCCAACCCACTCGAAGCATCACAAATCTCGAAGCTCGAGCTTGTAGGCACGGAACCGTCTATCTTCCCCTCATCCCCCTTCCCCACACCGTGCGCGGCCTTCATAAAAGCTTCCGTTCGGAAGTACGGGGTTTTCATTTCCGAGGTTTCACTTTTTCATTTTCATTTCATTTCCTTTCTTCATTACCTGTTCATATTCTCAGTTGGGTTTCTTCTTTTTGACTTTCTTCCTCGTCTCGCTCTGCTTAAGCTTTTGCTTCTCGTTTTGTACCGTTTCTCTTCAAACTGTAGCAAATATAAACCTTCTACGCTGTAACACATACGTTCATACATACATTTACCCCACTTATACATTCCTAGTGGTTCCGAATCGCAGAAAAGGGTTTCTTTTTCAGGTCGTTTTATATTCATACCTTCCTGAACTTTCTTTTCTCCGTTTCATTATCATCATTATCATCATCAGTCGCATTCAGACCCTCATCACCGCACTCGATCTTTCTTAGCTTTCTCCCATTACCTCGGACCACCTCGACGAATACCTAATCAGATGAACCTCGGGCCTCGTTACCGATCCGCAAGCTCTCATCTTTATCATCATCGCTATTTACCATCATCAGAAAAACCAGTGTATCCCCTGCCTTCCCCCTTCCCCTTGTGCCCCTTGCGATACCTGCATAGCATACCGTCGATGTCTGCCGTGGATGATCCGTTTACATTTTGATTATCCGTCTATCACACATAGATGCCTATACCTATTTTTATTCGTGCGTCACCTCCACCTTCACCCTCCTACTACGCCTTTAAAGTTACAGGTTACTCGTTACATGCTTTTTTTCTCGAGTAGAATTTTTTCGTTCATGTTTGTAGTTTTTGGGTTTTATCATATGTTTATATGATTTTTTCTCTTTTTTTTCCGTTTTTTTTTTTTTTTTTTTTTTTTTTTTTTTTTTTTGGCTTGTCCTCTTTCCGCTTGATTCATGGATCTTCTCGGATAATACCAAATCATCTTTTCCTATACATACGCACCTATACCTACCTATACAGTTTTAGATGCATATCGGCATACATACATACATAGTACTTATATCACTACGCTTGTTACGTTCTTCCTTGACGCTCTTCCTTGACGTTCTACGATTCACGCATCGACTCGACTGATACGAAACGAATGCTCTTACTTACGTGCCTTTTTTACGATTACAATTACGAGTACAATTTGGTCCATTTTAATGATGATGATAGTTACGCAGCTAAACCGTATTGGGCATGGGCATGAGCATGCTCGGAATGCAAAGTGAAAGTGAATCGTCTAAGTAAATGAGCGATTGAAAACGTCCTAGTAGTAGTAAGTTCAATACTACACTACGAAGTAGTCTGGGTTTGCGTTCGGAAAGGTGGTGTGTGTGGTTAGGTTAAGAAGATGGATGGCATTGGAACGCGAAAATTGAAAGTAAGGGTGCTCTGGTGCTCTGGTGTTTAAGAGGGTCTTAAACTAAAACCAAAAAAGAATGAGAAGTGAAGAGGTAGCCACAATTTACGGGCTCACTGCCCCAGAGAGGCTCGAACTCTCGACCTTCCGATGAGAATGTCACATATGACAATAACAGTCGGACGCTGTAACCAACTCAGCCATGGGGCATTACTATTCCTAGTTTGAAATAAACCTATTACGGACGATACTAAGATGTGCGCAAAACTGGCCCTTGGCGGAAGTGCTTCTGTCTCTTTCGATACCGTCACCGCTGGGGGTTTAATAAGTTTTAATTGTGACGGCGGGACCAGGAGCATTTTTGGACAAATATAATTAATGCTCGTAACAGATATAACGTTCTACCAAGTCCTCTCGTTCCCCTCACATCTCACGGCTTGAGCTGATACCCTTTGACCTTATCAGCCACACCAACCTAAGACTCGGATAGATTCTTTACTGTATTGGCATTGGCATCGGCATCGCCTTCAGTTAACGCACTCGACCTCTGCTCCAGCCATGAGCATCCCATTGAATGAATCATGAGCCTCATCACCAGTAAGAGTTTTGGTACCGATACTTATAGGTGATCAACGCTTAAAACCTCTGAGAATATAACAAACTTGCATTCCACCAACTCTTTTCCCTCAGTCTCGTCTCACGGCTTGTACTGACAACCTCCGAGCATATCAACCACACCAACCTTCGACTCTGCTGATTCTTTACTGCATTGATTGGCATTGGCATTGGCATCGCCGTCGCCATCGCCATCGCCATCGCCACTGTCAGTTAACGCACACTCGCCATTGAGTGAATTTTGACGCCCGGGACCAGGAAGATTTTTCGTACCGAAATAATTGATGCTCGAAACAGAATATGACAAACTTATGTTCTACCAAGTCCTTTCATTCCCCTCACATCTCACGGGTTGAGCTGATACTCTTTGACCCTATCAGCCTTCCCTCCATTGGAATCGCATTCGCCGTCGGTTACCGCACACTTGACCCACGAGCTGATCTATCGCGACAGCTGATTACCTCTTCGGCGTAACGGGCAGGAATCTGCATTCCAAGATGGGGCTTTAACGGTAATTGCAATCAATAGTAGGGCATAGTATTTCTCCGAGTTTTTTTTTGTTGAGCTGCAGAAGAGACCAATGAGCGAGCTGCCCTTCCCGTTACCGCTCCATATCGCTGTTGTCATCATTGGAGACTGATGCCGAGCTAGGCAACAAAGCTCGACATATCAGAATTCAGAATCAAATCGATCTGCACGACTATGATGTAAAAATTCTCAGTAACAGAATCTAACAAACCAGCTTTGTATTAGTACCGAATATACTCTAGCCTTACGGCTTGAACTGATATCCCCCAGCCCTGTCAACTACACCAAACTTCAGCTCTGCCAGATTCTTCCCCGCATTTCCGTTGGCATCGCCCTCAGCCAGCGCGCACTCGACTTCATCTCCAGCGGCAAGCGGACCTACACCCGCCGGTGTGCCGGTCAACACCAAGTCGCCTTCTTCCAGCGTCATGATGGACGAGATGTGCTCGATGAGTCGGGGGATGCGGAAGATCATATCAGCGGTGGTGCCGTTCTGTTTGAAGGCGCCGTTGATCTTTGGGGGTTGGGCGTGGAGGAGTTGAGAAGTTGAGCCAGAGTACGGGTAGGAGTGAGGACATGCGTAGAGAATATGTAAAAATTTGTAGAAAAATGGACGGGGTACGGAAGACGAGGTAGGGAATGAAAGAGACGGGTGAAGGAAAACAGAGGAAAAAGCGTTGAATTGAAACTCGGTGCTGTCTGAGGGTGTCACTTACCTTGAGCCAAAGCTTGAGATTATGCGGATCCTTAATGTCCGACTTGGGAATGAAAGACCTGTGGAAACAAAACTCTACTTAACACCAGCTGTCTTATTTATTCATGGAAAATCCAAGTAGAAAAAGTGTACTGCGCAATTTGCATCGCGACGCGACGAGCACGGACTTCTAAGAGATGCAGATGTATACATGTAGGCGCACAATTGAACGAGGGAATGGAACGGTGAAAGGTGAACGGAGTAAGGCAATTGATAGGGAAAAAGAAGGGAAAGAGAAGAAATCAAGGTTTGCACACGTACCCGATCGGGGTGAAGGTATCAAAGCCCTTGGCAGCGCTCCAAGGTAACCCCTTGCTCTTGACCTGGTCTTGAAGGTTCCGCGCCGTCATGTCCACCGCTAGAGCTATTCAAACACAATTGAAAAGACGTAAAAAAAAGTTTAAATCAGTACAACATGCGATACAGGCGTGTCGGAAGACGCAAAAAAGTACGAAGCGGAGAATTTCTGTATAGCAGAGGGGTTGGGGGCGGGGTTATGTGGAGTAACATTTTCTTCTCGGAGCGAGGCCAAGCAAAAAAAAGGCTTGACACACGGACAGACGGAATAGACCAAGACCGGAACGTACTCACCATAGCCAGCGATATGAGCCTCCGCGTTAGCTTGAGAAATGTCACGTCCTCCTTTGCCAATGACAAGCCCAAGTTCGACTGTGTATGAATAACAAAAATGTCAGCGTTCGACTTCATGCAGGTCGCCCCAAGGGCCACAGAAATACAAAGCAAGAAGCGGTTCAAACAGGGAAAGATTATTTTCGGAGCAATCTATGCATGTCGAACTCTATCTCGAAGTATGTTTGTACCGGTGTTCAATATTGATTCAATGATTCAAACCTGTTCCTGAGACGTTTTGAACAATGAAAACCGTTCGTAGTCCATATCAATCCTTACCATACCAGGTATAAGGTCGGCGGATTAATACAACCCAGAGTAACTCAAACAAATACATATGTTGTATGCAGCTTGTCCACTCAACTCACCTTCGTGGTGACAGACTATTCCTTTGGGTATTTCGACTTTGCCTCCGGACGGTAGGTAGCTTGTTGTAGGCTAATTGAAACGGATGATGGAACAGTTAGTCGTACAAAGACAGCTTGGCAGACGCGCGTAAAGGCAGAAATTAAAACAAGAGGCAAAGAGGTTCCAGTCGACCGGGGCTTTTTTTGTAGTCACCCAGATGACAGCCAAGAAGAGCTTGGGTGGATACTATCGCCTCCATCGGGTCAGGGCGCCGATGGCTATCTTATCACCAAGCGCAATACGTATTCATCCAAAAATAACAGACATCGAGGAAAAATGATGTTTGGTGGGTGTTATAACGGACCAGCAATGAATGTGAAGAAATCGATTTGGAAAACAGCTTCCGATGGCAAGTATGCACAGATGTCTGCCAAGCAAATAAAAGAATCCTATCCATCTCGGCATAAGGAAAGCCGGAATGAACAGAAAAGCGCCAGCGAACCCATGGACGCGGCGCAGGGCGGCTCAAAAACGGAGTCGGTCAACGAAGGGAATGTCAACAAACCTTTAGGAAAAAGAACGGTTCTTTGGGTGCCGTATTTGACAACTCTTTGATATGTTCGGCATAATTTCTGCCTATAGCGACGATCTGAATAGATAATGTATGAGTAACTCGTTCAAAGTCGGGTCAGGAGAAGACGGAAGGGTTGGATGATGAGGAAGCGCGCAGCGGGAGGACCCGAAAAACTTCCGCTCCCTTACTAGGTCCCCGAACACCTGGAAAGATTCGTTGATACCGCATGCCTGCATGCCCGTCTGTTCAACAAACGTGCGTGGCGTTTACAGCTTGTATGGGGGACCTAGAAAGTCGTAGGCACTGATACTTGCCTTTTTGCCGTGTCTGACGAAAGCGGACATCTTCCAAACCAGTTCAAGTCGGAATTTACTTTGAACAACACGGAAGCAACACGGAAGGAATGGAAGAAAAATAGTTGACATCAGGCCAACCGAGCCCGAATTGAGTTCCATAGAAGGCAATATTATTTCACGCACTGACCAGCCGAGCCAGAAGCTTTTAACTTTAAGCACCCCACAACCAGTGTGCAGCGACGAGCTTGCGACATGTCGGATAGCATTTGCGACTCACAAGCTGCAGCAAGACGCTTGTTCATGTTTTAAGGTCCGATCACGCATACCTTGAAGGTCAAGCTTAGCAAGGCTAAGACCGATATTATTAACAAGTCGACGGACAACTGTCCTCCAACCCATGTACGGAAACATACGGCCAGGCACCGCAGTCTTCGTTCTATTACGATCTGGAATAATTTCCAGCTTCTGTCTCCAGTTAAACGAAGATCTATTGTGAGTTCCATCGAACCTTTCATACCAATGCCTTCCTTCATAGGAACATGGGTGAAAATTCAAGCCACGAGAAATGATTGAATGTATCGAAGTGTTGTCACGGCCTAGTTCACCAGCCAAGACACTTCGCCATGATATTCTTGGCACGAAGCTCCTCTTGGCCTTTTCTATATAATGGCGGCAGCGCCCTTCCTATTTGTTTTCCATCTCCCTCTCCCTCGTCCGCCCTCTCCCCGCTCCATCATGTCAAGCAATAACACAGATACTAACACTCCACCAGTGGACGGTGAAGGAAACAAGTGAGCCCTCATTTTTTTTCTGCCCGCTCTCTGTTACTGAGACATACTTCTTTCGCAGTGATTCTTCCCCGCTGGGTCTTTCCTGGGAGATTGGCGTAATCATTGCCATAAGTGTGTCACTTCCTTGACGCCTCTCGGTTTTTTTGCTGACAGCCGAGCTCGAAAGTATTGGTCGTCGTAGCCATCATTGCTGCTGTAATTTTCCAACGGCGACGTAGACGACGCTCGGCGTTGCATTTAGTGGACGATCTTGAGCGCCATCGAGAGCAGCATCGTCCTCGAGCTGGGACACGCCCTTCATCATCTTTCTCTGCGACGTTGAAGGAAAAAGAGCCGCAGAAGACGACAGATACAAATGTTTCAGACACTGGTGAAAGCACAATCGCCAAGGTATTATTTTTACGTCCTCCCAACTCCAAATCGGCATCTTAATTCTCCTATTCTTACACAGCCCGAAGCGTCCGCCAAAAGATCATCACGGACAAGTTTCTTTCCTGAACACCCGTCACAGATGCCTCCGAAATATTATTGGGACCATCGATAGTATAGATTGGGGAAGGACTTGTCTTACAGAGGCGGAAAATCTGTATCACCACTGTATATTTTTGTATTCCAAGGTATGTTCACTTTTCCCTGCGCCGACAACAGCGCTCTAACTCGGTTTGCAGTAGCAT